ACAGCTTGAAAGAGCATCACAAAATTAGTAATATTCCAAAGTTTTGTTGCAAAATCTTGTAAAATGCGGATAATATAGCCTTGCGAAGTTTGCCGTTTTTCAGTCATTTTGTATTACGCACGGGAAATTAACATCCGATTCGGGTGTTGGGGCTGCAATTTCCCGTTTGTAATGCAAAATGACTGAAAATTGCAAACTTCGCAAGGCTCTATTTTCCTCATTTTACAACATTTCGCAACGAAACTTTGAAATATTACTACTTTTGTGATGCTCTTTCAAGCTGTGGTGAAATATTTGTCTAGACTTGCCTAGATCAAAATTTCGGTTATAAGGGGAAAGGTCTATTCAGGTGTAGAATACTTACGAACAATTTCAACAACTTTTAGATCATATTCATTATCCTTCAGTTTTGTTGCTTTACAAGTGTAATTTCCAAACTGACTGTGGGTGGAGTCAGGTTTGATGTAAAGAATAGTTGATATCCATCCAAGAAATCTGGCTGGTGTGGTTGTACCAACATTTTGGTAGACATCTGAAGAATTGTTGGTATCTATTCTTTTTCCATCCCTGAACCAACTGACAACTGGAGGAGGATATCCTCTACCACGGCAACGAATGATTGCTTGTTCGTCAGTACTATTAAGATGTATTGGTGATGAAGTGTTCACTTCAGCTTGAGGACTAACTGTAATGAAAAACCAACATGAGCTCCACCTTTGAATTTACTATATGAGTAAATTCTTAAACACGTCCGAATTTATCATTATGATAAATTCGCGGCACATTTTGAATTTATCAATAGAGTTAATCATAAAACCACAATCATTGCACAAGGTTTCTTGTTATAAATGTAATGGCACTAAAAGGTAGGCTGGTCGCGCGGGGGTGGCACGTTTTTCATGTTTTTTTAAAAAATAGTTTTTAAAAAAGTTTTAAAAAGTTTTAAAAGAGTTTTGAAAAGCAAAAAAAGTTTAAAAAGTTAGATTTTTAAAAAAGTTAAAAAAATTTAAAAAGTTAAAAAAATGAGGGTTAGGGGTTAGTGGTTAGGGGTTAGGGGTTAGGGGTTAGGGGTTAGTGGTTAGGGTTGGGGTTGGGGTTAGTGTTAGGTGCCGCGAATTTATTATTATGATAAATTCAAAATTTGCCGCGAATTTATCATAATGATAAATTCGGACGTGTTTAAGAATTTACTCATATAGTAAATTCAAAGGTGGAGCTCATGCTGTGAAAAACACATGCAATTATCACGTCGGTATTCTTCAGTTGATGAAGGTAATTATGGTAAGATCAGTGATCTTATATTCCTGCAGAGACTTTGAATAAAGAAAAGTGCAGAAACTGGAAGTACTGGAGACGAGATGTCTGCAAGCTAATGGATACGAACAAGCAGAGAAAGAACGAGGGACGAAGATATAAGGAAATAAATGTAGCTAGATGGTGAAGCTGGGGAAGATGATACGAGAAACTAAATGGCACGGCCACAACAATGAAGAAAACCAGAGCTGTGAGATGGGCAGTAGCCAGCGAACAGGCGTTTATTCAGGTTTATTCCTCTTAATAATAAACGCCTGCGCGCATGACTTTAAATTTTCGGAGACTTCGTTCGGCGCCGAACGAAGCTTTCTGATTGGAGAATTATGGTCACATGGGAACATATGATTGACATTAAGTAGGAGGTCTGCGTTTATTACTGAGGTCAGCAAAAACTTGCAAAACTTCGTTGATGGCTTGGTGCTGATTTATAGATGAATATAGTCGAGTAAATGCGAACAAGAAAAACATTAATGTTTCGGGACAATTTAATGGAAGAAATATTTTGGATGTACTACATGTGAGATTGTCAGGTTCACTTAAGCTGCTAGTTCGCCTGAAGTGTCCTATCAAAGTTTTATAAAAATTCATTGACATTTGAATCTCGACGAAGGTCGTCGTGGATTTCCGATTATAGTGTTAAAATGACTTTTATATATATGTATATATTCACTATTCTTGTTGTACTGTATGCAATTTGCATACCATTAGGTATTAAATAGAATGCAAATATGTTGTTTTATATATACCGTCAGTTGAAGTGAGCTGGTACAGACAGTTCAGTTAACGTTGTCGAAGCATGAACATTGAAGACTATGTTGTCGTTAATATTATGAAACGTATATCGAATACGTTTCTGTTTATGGCAATGATAAATGTTTTGCTTTTAATAATAAGTCAGTGTTTGCATGAAATATATGTGAAGCCAAATTGATTGTCAGTAGACGGCAATATTTTTGATTGTCAGTAGACGGTAATAGTTTCTACATTAAAATGTTCTAATTTCGATACAGAAATCTTTCTCATTACATTCATTGCTGTTTATTCTAACAAATGAAATGACTCTTGAATATATATTTAGACATCTTGAGAATGAAAAGGGATACAGCCAGTTCCGCGTAAGGACACGGCATATTTTAAAACATGGACTGGACCTTGGACCGGACTAGACTTGTAAAGGAAAGCTTGGCTGTAGTAATGTTCGCAAACGGAAATTGCCAACACAGCCAATCAAGATACATGTTATGATCTGGGAACTCGATGATGAATTTCAGTCAATGATTCTCAAGGCCAAGAGATCGACCTTTTGCGATTGAACTATTATTGTAACTATTCAAAATTTATTTATTTATTTATTTATTTATTTATTTAATAGCTTAGCCCTTGTACAAATATTAATTATTAGCACATGGCAGGGAATCTGCAACAGCGCAAGCCAATTACTGCAGCCCCTTTAAAACTTAACAACA